TTGTTAAATTTTGTTTCATTCAATGTAGGAATGTGGGGGAATCACCCCCATCACCTTAAAAACCACACAGTAAAAATGATCCTACACACGATATTTTCAAAATATTTGGGAAAATAATCATGGCCAATAAGGGAGATGTAAACACTCTCCCTTCACTTGCCCTGCAAATTCTAACATTTAGCGCTTTTACCTTTTCTGGTTTTTCCTGCTTCGCACGACGCAGTTGAACAAGAACCTGTATTCTGAAATGCAACAACAACAACAAAATGACGGAAACGAAACCAGACGAAACCACTTCATAATCTCTCTGTGTTTACTCACCAATAACTCGTTGTATTCACTTCCTTGCTTCGAGACAAGACAATCTGGATTTCCCAAAGAACTGGTCGTTCCTTTAATCAGCTCACAGACGCTTGATGGAGAAACAACTTTGATGGAGAAAGTTGATGGAGAAACAACTCAATTCTGATACGCATGATTTATGGCAGTCAAGCACGTTGACAGCTGACAATGTTTTGTAAATGGAACATCGCATCCTCTTACCAAGTTGACGAGAAAAATAGAAGTTTGAACACATCTTAGCGTCAACAGGAAAGAAATGGAGCCCACAGAAGAATAAAAGAACCCAAAACTGAGTCATCCTKTAACTGAAAGAAAAACAAGGTCAGCAGCTCGTACCGAAATATTTTCCTTTTCATGAGGTTTTCTTTTCTGTTTTTATAGCCATATCAAACATTTTTATTGGCTTTTTGAAGCTTTTCGAAGTTGGATTCCTGGTTTGCAAAAGACATGGCGGCCATGTTGGAGGATATAACAAAAGAGACTAATGACAATTCATTTGTTAAATTCATCCAACATGGTGGCTGTGAAAAGCATCGATTAATTTTGAACTGATTGACACCGGACATTAGTCTTGGCATGTTCAGTAGCTATGGTCTTAGTTTGAAGTTGATGATGATGTACATTTTAGTGGAAATGTTGTATAATAGACCAGTTTCGAATTCCAAATTACCGCTGTGTTCCTTGATTACAGACTCATTTGCAGAGGGTTAGCCTCGTATCAGTGTTTAAATATTCACAAATACCAACGGTAAAAGTAAAGAATGCACAACTTCAACAATACAAACACTTTGAAACTCGACGGACCTTGACTGGAACACGTGAATATTCTACACAAAGTCGAGGCTAACCCTGTGCAAATGAGTCTGTAATCAAGAAACACAGCGGTAATTTGGAATTCGAAACGGGTCTATTGTATGGCACTGATAAGTAAGAAACATTCAAATCAGTTGGCCTTGAATTGTAAATAAGAAGTTCAATCCAGATGCCTTCACTCAGATTTTTTTTWAATTTTTTATTTTGTTTAAGAGGTTAATTTTAATTTCTTCGGGTTCGTTTCGTCTTTTTCCGCTTGTGTTAATTAAAAGAATAATAATAATCTCTCATTTGTTAGAGCAGGCTGATTATTTTGTCTGCCAGCTTTCACTGACGTGGGCCTGCTTTTACTCACACTCACTACCACTACATTTACTATTTTATGCACATAACACTCGACTCACATGTTGATTTTTACGGAGGAAGGAAAACCAGAGAAAAATTCCCTGTAGCAAGAGAGAACAATACCTCAAAAACTCAATGAATTCACGTATCGTATTTCCTTCTAAATACAAGATATACCGCTTTGAAAACGTCGCTAATTAAATCCTAACTTTGTCTATGAATCGATCGACAGCAGGTGCCTGATCAATCCTAATAAATGAAAAAAAAATTAGCTTTAACTTTTTTGCCTTTTACCTAGAAAGTTTGGATAAAGAATTCATGTTCATGGGCGCCCACCCGGTTGGTGTCCAGTGGAACTTATTCTAAGTTTTTTTCTATTTTTTTCCAAGTTCTTTTTCATCTCAAAACTGCTATCCTTTCGAAATCTCTAAGATAAACAACATTTGAAATTAAAATAAAAATGATAAATACGAATAAATAAATTAAAATCCAGTGCGCAAAACACCTGCAATAAATATAAATAAGCAAGATAACATCTTGCTTTAAAAAAATCTGCAATTTAATTTCTGTATTGCTGGGGCAAGCTTGTTTTGATGTTGTCTCTGCTTTTTGTACAGAAAACATGGGTATCATACGCTGCTAATCCGTCGCCTCTCATCGCTGTCCTGTGTTCGATTCCTGGACAAGCCTTCTCATGTGAGTATTATACCTGTGTTTGTTCTGTTTCTTGGTTCTTTTGCTCTGCTTCTAGGGAATTTTGTGGGTTCCTCGATTTTTTTTTCCTCTTCCAAAAAATGTATTTGTAATTCGAATATGGAACGAGGACCACAGATTTGTTTGCCACTGGCTGTTAAGGGGTGCCCTCGTAAAACAAAGGTAATTTCTGAGTACAAACTACCTTGTAACGCATTGATTCGAAAGTATGTCTTCTGCAAGATTTCCTTAAAAGTACCTTCCCCCTGGTTAAGTTTACTTACGTTTTGTATTCWTGTAACATCGTCAAAAGTGTATCGAAGTCAGGTGGGTAGTACAAGGTACAAAAAAATAAAAATCCAATAATAGAAAGTTTATTTTAATGGAAACGCAGTAGAATTTATAGTAGAATTGCAACTAAGTTGAAAAACATCTACATCTACATTTTATTGTCAGCAGGAACTATACATTAAGTTATCACGCTAACTA